ATCAATAAAATAAAATGCAAATATAATACAATATCAAATCATTCATCTCCAAACACGTCTATATAGTAAACAGTTAACATAAACTTGTCAACTAGACAAAAACCTCTTTTGCTTCTAAAAGATTAAAGTCTACTAGACTACCAATTATTCAAACACACTAAGTTACACCAATATGCATCAAAATAATTCAAATGTAAGAAATTATATTTAATGACATATTACTATCTTATCAACAATTTTGGTAAGGTGGGCATCTCCAAGATGATTCAGGAGTTAGGAGAGGAAAGGCGGCGACATTGAGAAATTGAGAAAGTAAACTGTAGCCGGCTGAGAGGGTTAAAAATTTCAAGGATTTTGATAAATATAATTACATTTTAATCATATTTTTTTATTTAATTACCTTCATGCTAATAATAGTTTATAAAAATATATTTATAGCTTTTTACGTATAGCAAAATACCTTGATGGGCGGGTTGGGTACGGGTATGGGGCGGGGGACGCTAAAACCATACCCGCCCCATACCCATCAAGTTCTTTGCGGGTTTTACCCATACCCGCCCCATGCCCAGTCAATGCGGGGATTCCCCACGTTGACTGGGTCGGAGGTGGACGGATACCCGCAACCATGGGTTTGATTGCCATCCCTAGTGGGCGGAAAGAGGAAACCATTGAACATTTATTTTTCAGGTGTCCGACGGCAAAAAGAGTATGGAGAATGGTAAGGCTGCATAGGCACTTGGGACGTTGGAATAAGGGTTCCTTTATTGGCTTCCTTCGATATTCACTGCTCAAGGAAGATGGCCAGGATTTGGATTATCTTTACTTGCAGGTTATTTCCCTTCTTTGGCGCATCTGGAAAAATTGATGTACTGTTTGTTTTGAGTTCAAGTATGTTAAAGTGGAAGAACTTGCTGCCAAATGGAAGCACCAAGCTCAAGAGAATGATAAATCTCTCCTGCAGGCCACTCCTGTAAATGGCACGACTCTGATGAGAAATCATCTAAGTCATGATGACTCCATGGAAAAATTTGTGGCCTTGTTTGATGCAGGTACACGACGCAGGGAGTTTGGATCTTCGGCTTTCATTGTATGGAGTGCTTCAGGAGAGGTCATAGCAACCAAGGCTTGTGTTTTTGAAGGTTGTAGTGATCCTTATGTCTTGGAGGCACTAGCGTGACGGGATTGTCTTCTTTTCTGCAAGCAACATCAGCTCAACAGTGTTTGCGTTCAAGGGGATGCTGAAGTTCTCATTGAGAAATGTCGTGCAAGACAAGTTTGTGACGCAAAAATTGGGATTCTTCTTCAAGAGATTGATATGCGAGATTGATATGCTCATTAGTGGACTCAACAACGCCTCGATTCACTTTGTTGGTAGATTTGAATAATAGAGTAGCTCACTCGGTAGCAAGACATGCTCTGGTTTTGTCGCTTGCTTGGTTGCGTAGTAGATAGTCTATTTGTATCTGTAATCTTTGTACTACCTCTTTCAAGAGGAATCTAATGGAAAAAACATAGTCAAAGAACCACACTCAATCAAACACGGCAGTTAGTCGAACTATCGATGCAAGAGCCTTTTGAGCCACTAAATGGTGGCCCTATTAAAATCGCGAGGGGTAAAAGTACAATCAAAGAATGAGAACGACGAACGCAAAACTCTAATTTCTTGCAATAATGCACCACTCATTCTGTGATTTGTGTCTCTCGAGCGAACTCGGCGTAACAGGAGTTGGCAATCCCCACAAAAATTTACAAAAACAAAACCATGAGTTATACACCATGTAATTGCATCACGTAGTGCCATTAATTCCATGAGAAAGGATAGGAGATACCTGAATAGTGTTTTCCATAGGCGAATAACAAGGCCCCATTCTCGGCAAATCCCGCTAAGCCAACAGCGCCACGAACACCCCTCTTCCAGGTCTTGTCAAATCGTACAAAAACTCTGCCTGGCGGGCATACACCGTCCATCTCCGACCTTGGTGGGGATCCAGTCGGCGGTGAAGCTTCGCTTCCAAGTTGAACTCCATTATGCAGCTCCATGGGCGCAGTGGCATTCCGCCATTCCTCTTCTTGTGCCTTTAGTTGTCGTAACAAGGCTGAACCCCTGTACTGAATGCGCTTGTGGACAACCCAACAACGGGACTTCCAAAGATGCCATAACATACAATTTGGACAAAGGACAATGTAAAAGAAATTGCTTCCAACATTCATCATAGGACAACCCCATTAAGCCCCACCGAAGTAGACCCAATCCTGCTAGTTCCCACAATTCCACGACAACTCGACATTGTAGGAAGATATGGAGAATCTAATCAGCACTCTCCGAACACACTGGGCATGTACTGTCTGTGATCAACCTTTTGAATACCAGAACATCACACACCGGGAGGAACCCACGAATCACCCGCCACCTAAAAAACTTCAACTTTGGCGGCAAAGGTAAATTCCAAAGGAATTTCCAGAAACGTCCATCATAAGGAAGGGGAGCAGGAGGGTGGATCTGATTGAGCTTCGTGGACAGAAGTTGATACCCCGAATTGATGGAGTACTCACCCGAACATGAGTAGTGATGCCAAATAAGCTTATCTGGGATAGGCTGCAATGGCAAAGGAATGGTGAGAATCAGCTCCGCCGACTCATATGTGAACATCCCCTGCAACAAATCAACTTTCCAACTATGAGAGACAGGACAAATAAACTCGGCCACAAAGATTAAAGAGAAATCGACCCCGGGGAGTAGAGAAGGAGAAGAAGGTGGGGAAGAAGGCAACCACTTATCTGAGAGAATCCGGATTGTCTTGCCTGATCCGACTCGCCAGCACAACCCCCTAGCAAGTAAATCTCGCCCCACAAGTATTCCTTGCCAATCCCAAGAGGGCCGTGCACCCTCATTTGTCGAGAGAAAATTAGTATCTGGATGGTAACAGGTCATGTACAGGACATCTAAGGTAGAATCGGGATTTTGAAGGAGTTGCCACGCTTGCTTTGTGAGCAAAGCTATATTGAATTGATCAAAATCCCGAAAGCCCAGTCCGCACTCAAATTTACTATGATAGACCTCCGACCAAGATACACAGAGTAAACCTTTCTCCTTATCTTGAGCTGCCCACCAGAACCGGGTAAACGCAGGACTACGAAACGTAGACATCACATATATTGATCAAGCCGAACCAATTGATTTGATTACGGTCCCTTTGGAAGCAAACAACATGGCCTTAGTCTTCCACAATCGAATCTGAGCAGCCAGACCCTCTTCCAAAAACCGAAACGTTTGTGTTTTAGACCTCAGAAACTCAACGGGCAACCCAAGGTATTTATCAGAATCTCTCGGTCGACAAGCGGTCACGCCGTAGGATTTTGGCAGCCGCGACGAGGCCGTGTCGAAGGGAACCGACAACCGACACGTCGCCGGGCTGAAAGATTTCTTCGGCTCAGCAGTGCTCCGACTGCTGGTTTCCTTCGGGCTGGCCTCGTCACGGCCAATGTAAATTGCCAACCGAGCCTCGCCCGCGTCAGAACAATTTTTTCCAGTCGGCGTTCACCAGGTCGGGCCAAAAGGAGAAGGCGGTAGAGGCGGGGTCAGGACTAAGGATTTTTTCGGCTCACTCCTAGCTGTGCTAAGAAAATCCTTCGACGCGACCCCGCTTCTGTTGCCTTTTAATTTCACTTGCCGCTAAATCTCGCCGGGAACTGGAAAAACTCTCCGAAAAATTGAAAATTTCCTGAACAAATAAAAAGTAAAGAAGCTAACCTATTTTCGTTGGTCAGTGACGGCGGGACGATGGTCGGCCACGAAGGGACAGTGTTGGCGACGAAGCCACTATGGTCGATGACAGAAACTTGATTGGAAGAATGTTTAGATTTCTTGTGAATGATGTATATATAGACTATTAGCGGCAAAATTCAAATTTTGATTTTTTTTTTGCGACAAATAATAATTTTGTTGGCGGCAAATAGCCGTACACTATAAAAGTTATCCATTGCTTTCAACTTCAAGAGATCTCTTGATGAATTCCAGCATTTACTGCAAATTTTCAGCGCTTAACCATCCGGATCGGGGCTCTATCCCTGTTGCACCCTTGGATTGCGAGGTAAATTTTAAGACTCCGTAAATGGACAAACAAACATGAGTTGTCCTCAATGGAGACCAAGCCTCCGCTGTTAGATACAGGTAGAGGTGGCAAATCTCAATCCAATCAACCAATCCAATCCATGAATTCATTAAAAATATCCACCTAATTCAATCCATTTAAATCTAATCCATTTGATCCAAATTCAATTGGATTGGTGGATTCATGGATCCAAATGACAAATTACGGTTTGGTACCTATACTTTTTATATTTTACATTTTGGTACTTAAATTTTAATTTTATATACGAAAAATATAATTGAAAAATTACATTTTGGTACCTAAAATTTTCCATTACGACATTTTAGTACCTAAACTTTTCACATTTTACATATTGATCCAAGGTTGAGGATATCATTTGCATTCATGGATGGATATTCCACCAATCCACTTGATCCATGGATCCACCAATCCAATCCACCAATAATGGATCCAGTCCATTTGCCAGATATAGGGAAAGGACGGATCTCCATTTCTTCACAGAACCTAGTAGGGGTGTTCAAACGATTTGGTTACCATGGTAACCGTTTTAACCGTTACTATTTGGATAATTTGGTTTGGTTAATTTGAATAATTGGTTTGGTTTGGTTAAAGTTTTTAGCTTGTTTTGTTTAGGTGGTTCGGTTTGGTTTCAGACACTCCTAACCAGTCAAACCAAATTAACCAGTTAAGTAATTAGTCATATATCTAACATATATATACACATACTTAATACTTTGCATAACCACTCAAGAGTTAACCCCTTTTCCATGGTTAATGAAATTTAGCCTTATTTGGTTTGGTTATAACCATGGTAACCATTTGAACACCCCTACCCCTACCCCTAGTAACCTAGCCTTAAAGTGACTAACAAAAGCCTCCTGAAGCTGATCTGTGACTAACAAAAGCCTTATACTGATTCTTCATCACCACGGGAGCTCAAGAAATATTTTCTCCCACGATGTTGCTACAAAGATGCTGCACGCAGGTTCCACTTAAATCAGTAAAGCTATTTTTTGTCAGTTTAACAGCCGTCAAAACAGAAATCACAAACAATATTTTCATTTTGTATCGCTCTCTGAAACGTATTTGCAGATATACAGTTTCTACTTTCTAAGCTATGCATTCTACTATCCCACATTCACCCGTGACGGGAACTACCCACCCATATGTAACTCCCTTTACCGGCAACATGCACCTAGTACTTCTTCAATATCTGGGTCATCACCAGCTTCTTTATCCTGTTTCATGAACAAGAAGAATACTTGTTTAGTCAGAAGAAATGGTAACAAGGTACGCAATTGAATCGTGCAGCAGCATTCACCACAACTAATCCCCATGCTGATCGGTCCCGACTCTCGCTAACTTGTTTCTTATCTTCCGACCAGGGCGACCAAAGCCTATTCCCCTCCCTATGTTGCACTTCCTCACAACTGCAGCATATTGGTAGTATGGAATAATAATAGCTTACCCTGTGGATGTATGATATATTAGTCTTTCCAGGGCCTGCAACTATTATCCCTCCTTGCCTCCTGAATAAAAAACACAACAGCAAAACGTCCATAGTTCGTCAAGTAATCCACACTATCCCGACTTGATCAGAATGTTCGCACAGAATCTCAGTGCTTTCCTTTTTGCCGAGTTGGCAGGGAGACGATAGATAAGCCGTGCACACAAAGTCCATACAGACACAAAACAGTAATTGCAAAAGTCCCATGGAGGTTTTGAGTTATTCAGAAAACACAGTTCATAAATGAGGGATGCAATCGAGGAATGTAGATGTCCACCAACATACCAGCCTCCTCTGTTGACGGTGTCACTTTCCATTGAGAGTTTCCAGTCCTGTCGGTAACCTTCCATGTATAGTTGTATTATCTTAAGACCTGCCTGCACATTTACCCAACCAACCAACCCATGAACTGAGAAAACTGAGACTTAGCAGGCATCAGAGACAAATTAGTGGGAATGAATTCCACACTCAGATGGGAAAATGCCATAATACCTTGGGAGTAAAAGTTGTTCCAACTCCAGAAACAAAATTTAACGCTTCATAACACGAGTGGTTTGGATCTGCATAGACTTCTGAAACAAGGCAGATATAGCCATGTCACGAGCTCATCTTGATCTGCAAGACTATGGTGGTAACGAGATAAACTGTCTGGCTAAGTTACCTCCTCTGAATTTCGTTTGCTCAAAGAAAGTTCTTGCCTGCATATAAAATTTGTTCGATAACAATCTCCAGCTACTTCATTCAGAAGTCGGACTGTAGTAAATTGTGAAACTCAGAACCATATACGGATTCAAGAAATATGTAATAACCTGATCGACACTGCCAGGTCCAATCAAAACCAAAGCAACTCCAGCTGCATCCATTGCATCCTAATAATTTAACAAGATAAAAAAACTCAACTTACTCCACAAACTAACTCTAAAGCTTGGAGCAGGGCATGAGTTGGTAACTTACCTTCTTAGCAGCGAGATAATCCGCCCGTTTCCGGCAAAGCACGCATCTTCAAACATCAGTAGAATCGTTGTGAGAAAATTCAACTTACAACATGATTAAATTTTCAAGGGGACCGCGCGAAATTAGGGTTTTGAATTTGATTACCCAAAATGGCGAGCAAATGCAACGACGGCTTTCCGATCCTTCCACAAATCAGAAACTGGAATTTCATTGCCACTGAGATCAACCACCTTAACGCTGTCCAATGTATTCGTCGTCGTCTCTTCGCTCACAGAGCTGGAGGATCCGATTCCTGCACCCGCGTCAGAAGAATTCAGCTGGAGCCGGGAAAGAGAGAGAAGTAACTACTTGAATACTTGCCAGGGGATCCTGAGATGGCTGAGACGACTGCCGTCTGACTCCGGTGACGAAGCGAGAATTCGAGAGACTGTCCGTTCCGACAGTGGCGAGACGGGAGCGAGAAAAGGAAGCGAGGGGAGGTGGAGGAGGAATTGGCGGAGAAATTGGACTGAAGGAGAGTGCTGGGGGAGAAGTATGGGGATAACGAAACCGCCATTTTTTTCCTCGCCGGAGAAAGGAGGACGACGGCCAGAGAAGGGGAAGAGCTGTTGTCCTTTGCTTGATGGCCGTTGGTCTCCTTTGTGAAGTTGAATGATCATCCAAAAGCCAAAAAAAAAAAAATTGTGTGGAATGATGGATTCCACGTGGCGCGCTCTTATGGCTTCCGATAATATTCTTGGGCTGCCTTTTATTTATATCCTTAACGGACCGGTCCAGTCGCAATTCGCAAACAAGGTGTAGGGGTAATATTCGATTTGCCGGTTAATAGTATAACCGGTTACCGAATCGGTTAATCGGCGGTAGCAGAAACCATTTCTCCTACCTCGCAAAGCTCTGCTCCTTTGTCGATCACCATTCGACGACAAGTTCGATTTCCCGATTGCCCTGTCCTCTCTCACTAAGATTTGTCACTATCCATTATGTGCTTCGTCTTCCCGTTTTCATTCCTGGCTTGTATGGAACGCTCATCGACGAAATGCCTGAACCATGCCGACCACAAAATACAGAGCAGGAGAGCAGCTCCAACCCGTTCTCCTCCTCCTCAATCACCGCAGTCTTCCCCAATGAAACAACATCAGCAGCAGCTGCAAGATCATCACGATGATGGGACTAGCCGAATTCTCCTGATTCCACAATTAAGAAGAAGAAGCAGATATGGGACTGCAACAACAAGCACCCAGTGTACATGGGAGTCCGGATGCGGAGCTGGGGGGAAATGGGTATCCAAAATTAGGGAGCCGCGCAAGAAATCGAGAATCTGACTGGGTACTTTCCTGACCCCCTGAAATGGCGGCGGGTAGGTATGTAAATGGTGGGGACGGGCTCGAGTTTGATTCTGGGTCGGGTTGGGTTAATAGGTTGGGTGTATGACATGACAGGTGTGGTGACGTGGCGGGTTGAATTTGGTAATTTCCGGCCCAAAACGGCGCTGATTAGCCGTTCTCGTTAGTCACGTAAGCACATAACGGACTCTAGTGACTAAACATGACACGATTGAGTAATTCCAGTGACCAAATTTGATATTAATTTTTTCTAGTCACTAAACATGACAATATTTAGTAATTCCAGTGACCAAATCCAAATGTGGCATTAACCTAATTTGTTGTTAAGGGTTAATTACTAATCAAGTATTAAGGAAAAAATTAATAATTAATTTGTTATTAAGCTTAAACCCATCGACCAAAAAAGAAAGGAAAAAGGAAAACCCTAATCAGCCATTTCCCCAAGCCCTTGTCCGGTTGTCCCTGTATAGTATGTAGGTGCTGGTCTTCCCCTTCAGCAACATCTCTTCCGCCATCCCTCCGTCGTAGCGGACGACACATTTGACGATCAATTATAAAAATTGACTGTTACATAAGCAAGAGTTGGACGGAGAGTGACCAAACTTGAATCATTTAAGTAATTTAAGTGACCAAAATTAGATTTAAATATTTACGGTGATCAAACATGAACATTTTTTTTTAATCTGACCAATCATGCAATTAACCCGTAATGATAGCCATGCTATGTTTTACTTTCACGGTTCTAATTGCAGGGCCAACGGCAAGTGGGGAGGGCAGAGCACGTTTCTTCCAATTCCAACTACCGGTCATAAAAGGGCAGGCAGCTCCCTCGCTCTTTCTTCAGGTGGAAATGGAAATGGATGAAAACTACTCCGTCCTCACTCCTCACGTGCGCCCACAGCTACCTCAACTAACTTTCCCATCCCATCACAGGGCGGGAATAGAATCTAAATCTATCCTCCCTCCCTCCTTCTTTCTTATTATTATTTGACTAATCGTCACGATATCGGTATTTCCCGCAAACTTATCGTATTGGCGGTTTAATTAGAAAAGTCAATAAGACAATTTTCAACGATATGAAACTATTGAATAACGATTAAATTTTAAATCACAATTTCAACTTAAAATACTAAATTATTATACATTTTGAGTACAACTTCCGGTACAATTTTATCATCATTGCCTATCATATTACAAGAGCTATTTATCCTTGGATAAAATAGCGACGCGTCATATCTAATATATGGGATTTGGCTGCTGCCACAGAAGCAGTGTTTATTTCATTCTTTTCTTTGTATCATATTGGTTGTTAGCTGAGGTTTGTGATCTCTGGTTGGTCCAGATTGGATAAGGAACACAGAGAATGGCAGTGGCTCGTGGGCATATGTATGGCAAGTTGTTGATAAGTTAGAGCTGTATTTGTATGGTCCGAAAGGTTATAAACTAACCAACGAATATATTTTTGGTTATGTAAGCGTGAAAAAGAAAATCTACTAAAGTGTGTAAGTACCATATGTTTTTCTTTTACCTAGTAAACCAGATTGTGTTAGACTAAAGCATGGAGTTTGGGATTTTCAATGATTAAAAACATAGGAAAACTGGTTACTATGTTGATGGGACGAGTGTAAATTCAGATTAATTAGCAAAAGTAATACAAACATGTATGTTCAATGACCGAGATTGCGAGTACGCCGAGTAGTGCAATATGATAATATCAGTTCATGTTAACGTCCACTCTACCTACATACAACAAAATTCTTAAAAATGTCCGAAAAAATTTATTTTATTTAGCTGGATGAAACATTTATTGATAATTCAACCATAAAATATAAATGAAGAATAGGGTTATATAACTAATTAGAATTGCAATCTTCACCATAAATGTTAGAAAGATTTTACAATAAAAACAAGGCAAAATTCATCTGTGTAGCCAAAACTTTCACGTTTATGACAATAATAGCCACTTTTGGCGAAATACCAAATATAATCAGAATTTTGAAAGTTTCATGACAAATATAGCCATTTCCGTTACATATTTACTGACACCGTTAGTTAAACTAACGGAACACTTATTTGGCGGCCAACTCAGCGGACACATCATCGACAACTCAACAACGCTTGCCACATGGATGCCATGTCATATTTTAACTTTAAAATTAAATAAAAAATCATAAATAAAAAAGCATAATAATACAATAATTAATTCTTCCCTTCATTACTGTCGTTTACCAGAAATACAATAATAAAAATCATAAAAAATAATAAAAATCGCGCCGGTGCTCACCGTCCGCCATTATTGTCGCCATCAGTCGATCCTCACCATCAGTTTATCCCAAATCCTCGTCGCCATTAGTCGATCCTCGCCGCCATCAAGCATCTCTCTCCCCCGATTGAATCAAATCTGGCGCTCGTCGGGTCTCGGGAGTCTCAAATTTCTCGTCGAAGCAATGGGGGAAGAAGGGATTTATGGGTAAACGAGCAAAACTAAGCATACAAGATGGGATCTCTGGGTAGCCAAGAGACGCCAGAGACGCCGTCGACTCCGACGAACCACCTTCCTCTTCTGCTTTCCGCCGCCGCCGCTAATTGCTTCCCCACCGTCGCCCCTACGTACGTGTCGCCTCCGACGAATCACCTTCCTCTAACGCCTTCCACTGTCGCCACTAGCCGCTTCCAGTTTCACAGATCTAGAACAGCCCCAGTGTTCCCGGCTCTCGAGCTTCTCCTTCTTCCTCTTCCCCCGCCGCCGCGGTCCCGTTCGACAGATTGAATTAGGGATGGAGGAGATTGCCGATGGAATTTGGGAATATGAGGAGATGAACTCCATGGTTTGGATGTATGATTCGGGGCTGGAGGCTCTGGGGAACTCGATTTGCCTCCTCAAGACAGAGATGCTTCGACGACAATGACAGCGGCGGGTCGCGCCTCTACATCAACTCCCGCCGACGAACTCACGCTTGTCGTTTCTAGTGCTCGCAGTCGGGTACCACCGCTACCAACTCCCTCCTATTGCCGTCAACGATCAGCATCACTATCCCCCAGGCCTGCATTCAAGAATCTAGCGAATTTGGGAGGAAGAACTAGGGTTCTTGAATTTGGGGGGTTTCCAAATCCGAATCTGGGGTACAGTTTCTTATGGACCAGGAGCGGTGACCATCATATTCAAAGCTTCTCCTCTATTTTGTGTGGTAAGAAAAGAAAAGTGGTTTTAGGATAAGTGGTGGAGACATGGAGGTGGAGTGGGGAAGAGAAGATGAACGAGAAGCAGAGTTAGTGGAAGGGACGAAGGGTGAGAGATTTTCTTTTCTTTTTTTTAACGGTGGAGAGATTGTTTTTCTATGTATTTTTTTTGGTAATTTTGTTTTATTTAAGCTCATTAAAATAAAAAGGTAAAATTATGATGGTTTTCCACCTGGCATTGTTACTTACGAAATTTTTGCCACATCAGCCTTACCGTTAGCCCAGTCAGCACATTCACTAACACTGTCAAACAATTGGACGGAAGTGGCTATTTTTGGTATTTCGCCAAAAGTGGCTATATTTGGCCAAACCATCAAAGTTTTGGCTATACAAGTGTATTTTCCCTAAAAACAAATAAGAAAACAACTTTCCTTTCGTTCATCCAAATATCTAAGGGTCGGAAATAAATGTATTGTGATGAATATTGTATAATAGTATACCTGTATTGATAAATTTGGTATATTGTAAAATACAACGTTTGGTATGTGTGATTGTTTACGTCATATTAGACAAAACTATGTAACAGAAACAATGTATGTATTGTGTATGAAAAAATATAAAAAAACTTCGATGCATCGTAAACAATACATGTATAATAATAATATCACAAAAACAATAACAACTTCCAAACACATTATAAAAAAAAAAAATAACAACTTCCAAACAACCTAAGTTGTAACTAATGTGTTAGAAACCTTACCAGTCGGACCGACCAGAAAATTGAATTCTAGCTCTAAACTATAAAAAAAAAATTATTTAGAAAAACTATAAAAAGTTCCACCGGATCAAAATAGTCAAATCACGACTTTAATCCAAAATACTCTACCATTAAATTTTCATTAAATTTTCAGGTATATCTTTCGTCACAATAACCCCCACTTTCCCCATCTCTCTCCACTTGATCACTTTCCACAACCTCAACCACAAAAAGGGTATAGCAGAGCAGTAAATACACAGAGAGATTCCTTTCCCTTCTTCACTCCGCTCTTGAAACAAAAATGTGCAGGTTAGTTGGGACTTGGGTGGGAGAGAGAGAGAGAGATGAGTAAGCTGCTCATTCAATAATATTATCCATCTCTTTTCTGCGAGAATCTATTGAGTTTTCCCATTTGTCTCAAAGG